GGTGGGCTACTGTCCATGCCGGTGCCGTCAACCCATCGTTCGTTCCGTTACTCGGGTACTCGACCCCGTACTTCTGGGCACACGCGCACCACCACTCAGACTGATAGTGTGGCAGACGAGGAGGAGGAGGAGGAGGGGGACGATGAGGGGGACGATGAGGGGGATGATGAGGGGGAGGGAGAGGAGGAGGAGGAGGACGAGGAGGGGAGCGGTGATGATAGTGAGCCGGGGTGGACACCCCGGACGCATGGCGGTGCTGGGGACGGAGGAGGAGATGAAGACGAGGAGATGGAAGGGTTGGAACCTGAGGGGGTGGAGGAGGGGGTTGGTGAGGGAGGAGGGGTTGCCGCGGCTGCCGCAAAGGAGGCATCTCAGCATGTGGGTAGACAGCCAGTGCGTGGCGGTGGCGGTGTTAAGGTTGGGCGAAAGAGGCCGTTAATTGGGAACAGGAAGAAGAAACCCGAGAAGCTGCGGACCCGAGCGTATCCTTGCACCTTCAAAGGGGTGGATTTGAGCGAGGGCGTGGTTTTTCTATAGTTTCTTGACAAGGAGGGAGAGCAAGAGAGCAGCAAGGGGAGTGGCAAGGGGAGGAAGAAGCCGAGGTGGCAAGTTCAGATGTTTGGGCCTTTGGGGACCGACGAGAAACGGCAATGCAAGATTTGCACAAATCGGATTTCGTGGAAGAGCTCTACACCTACACCAGGCGAGCGCCACGTTGAGAGCTACCACACTGCTCATATGGATGTGTGGTTCCACCGTTTCCACAATCCACATCTGCAACTGCCGGGCGAGACGTTTCCGAGGGGGGGTTACGTCGGAGTGCCTGATGGCTACGTGTATTATTGGCCACATGCAGAAAGCTGGCCAAACATCCCAAAGAAGGGAGGGAAGGCAGAGGGGCGAGGGGCGGCAGGGTCATGCGAGGCTGGGATCAAGAGCTACATGTCGAAGAAGCTGTCAGAAGTGGAGCTTCGTCAAGCGATCGCCAAGCTGGGGGTAACCTGTGACCTACCCATCAAAATTGTGGAGGCTGAGGAGGTAAGGGTATAGGGCTGCTGGGCGTGGCTGGTGTGGTCTGGTTGGTTGGCTCGGACGTGACAGTTTGCAAGTTTTGTAGAGACGACGAGCGCATGATGTTGAGGGGAGGGTGTTGGGCTGGGTTGGGTCGGGCATTCGTAACTATTAAGCGAGACTCAACGCATGCTCGTTGTATGATCTCCCTCCACCCACCCCACCAGTTTCGCGAGCTTTTGATCCTGTGCAACCAGCAGTGCGGGCAGAAGAGCTTCATACCTTCGTGCTGGACAGTGGCATGCGACACGGTGGCGTTTTCAGCGGCCGCTCGGCATGCAGCCAAGGCGGAGCTGTAGGGGAAGGAGGGGGAGTTGGGATGCAAGGTGTCGTACACTATTGACATTTGGATTGCGCCCAATGGGAAAGCTTGGTTAGTTGTGACAGGTCACTAGATCGACGAGTCGTTTCAGCTACGCGAGGCACTGCTCGAGTTTCGCGAGCTACCGGGTCGCCATGGCATAGCACAGATCGCGCAAATCGTGGAGGACACGGTGGTGATGTGGGGGTTGGAGGGGTGTTGTCTGGGCCTCACCACAGACAACGCCTCAGCCAATATCACCGCGTACAGATGGCTGTCGGAGGAGGGTGGTGGTCAAGCTTTCTTCAACTCCCGCCTGCACTTCAGGTATGAGTGTGTATGGTGTGGGGGTGATATCGGGGTGGCAGGCCGCGAACGGCGGTGTGGGGGTTGAGTGGGGTCACTCGGAGTTCTAGTAATCTCCCACGCCACGTCAACCAAAGACCATGCACCACTACCTCCGAAATCCATGCCTGTGGTGCTATGGTTTGCATGTGTGTCTCACATGTGGACAACTTGGCAGTGCAGGCAGGACTGAAGGTGGAGGCCATTTGCGCCTTGTTGAAGGTGCTCAAAGACATGGCATCCTGAGTCGAGTACTCGCCTAAACGCTCGTCGGCATTTTTGGGACTTCAGCGGGGCCTGAACCAGCAGGCCCGTATCAAGAAACCAGCCCTGAAGCTAGTGTAGGACAGTCCTACCCACGTCATGTGTGTGGCATGTGTGCGGCATGTGTGTGGCATGGCATGTATGCGGGCATGTGTGCAGCATGTGTGTGGCATGGCATGTATGCGGGCATGTGTGCGGCATGTATGTGGCATGCGTGCAGCATGTGTGTGCCATGTGTATGGCATGGTTGTTGGTTGCATGAATTGCGAGATGTGAGGATCTAGGATTGAGCTCAGAAAAGAGCGTTTGAAATGAATTGAATGATCATATGGATACAACACGAGGCTATATATATGGTCGACACAAGCACTCATAACCAGGTGTTACGCGAAGGTGAGACAAGTTCAAGTTGCGCATGTCAAGAAGCACCTGATCTCCGAATGCTACTGTCTGATCATGTCGCTGACGATTGGCATACTGCTTCTGGAAGGTCTGCATCATGGTGAGTCGTCGCTGAGTCTTCTCCCATAGTTGCTGTATGGTGGTGACGAAGTCATGTGCGGCTTGGACGTGTGCCGGTGTGGTTGGCTGCTGTGGTGTGAGTGGTTCCCATCCGTAACACAAGAAGAAAGGAGTTTTCCTTGTGGCCGCATGTGATGCGTTGTTGTAAGCGAACTCTAGGGTCGGTAACTGTGTGTCCCAGTGGCTGACGTCATCTTTGCAAGCTGTGCGTAGTAACTGTTCAACCACCTGATTGAGTCGCTCTGTCTGTCCATCAGTTTGTGAGTGGTATGCTGAGGACATCGCAAGTTTGGTCCCCAATAATCCCATGAGCTCCTTCTAGAAATTACTTGTGAATTTAGGGTCTCTGTCTGAGATAAGTGTAGCGGGGATGCCGTGGATGGTGATGATGCGATCGAAGAAGAGGCGAGCAGTTGCTTCAGCTGTAGCCATGGCGTTGGTCTGGATGAAGTTACCCATTTTGGAGAACTTATTGATCACTACGAGGATAGAATCATGCCCTCGTGAGGTCGAAGGAAGTCCCGTGATGAAGTCGAGGCTAACGACCTGCCATGGCTGCTCCGGTACGGGTAGAGGCTGAAGTAACCCTGCTTTATTTTGCTTGCTGCTCTTCATCCGCTGGCACGTATCGCATGAGGTAACAAAATGCTGCACGTCTGCTGCCATCCCGGGCCAGTAGTAATACTTCGCTATTCCCGCTAATGTCTTGTTGCTCCCGAAGTGTCCCGCGTATGGTACGTCATGAAACTCCTCCAATAGGATCTGCCATAGCGGGGCGTGATTCGGTACCCAAATCAATCCTGAACCCTTTCTGACAGCTAAGACTTTCTCCCACTGTTACAGCTTCTTGGTCTGTGCTGTAGCTATCTCTACGTCCACGGAGTACCCATGTTGGAATAGACCCTTGAGCAGAGGGTTCATCCATCCGTGCTACATGTCCGAGGTGGCTCAATGCGTCTGCTTGTTGTGTAGCCCGGGCTTGTAGACGATGTCGTAGTGGAAGTGAGTTTCCAAGAAGTCCATCCACCGCACCTGTCGTCGTGAGAGCGTTGGCTGTGACTTAAGGTACTTGAGACTGCAGTGGTCAATATAGACAGTGGTCTTGGATCCCTCTAGGTAACACCTCCACGCCTTGAAGGCTATGAATATCATTAAGGCTTCCTTGTCATGGATGGGGTAATTCAGTTCTGCTCTGTGTAGCTTCTTACCGAGGTAGGCGATGGGCTGCAAACCGCGTCCGTGATCTTGCATCAGTACTGCTCCGACTGCTTGGTCACTAGCGTCTGCTTCCACCACGTAGTCCTTGTCTGGGTCCGGTAGGATTAGTACTGGCGCTGTAGTCAGTGTTGTCTGCAGCTACTCCATGGCTTGCTGATGAGGAGTATCCCATTTGTAGGGCGTATCCTTTTTCAGTGGGTCGGTCAGTAGTGCTGCTATCTTAGCATAATGCGGCACGAACCTGTTGTAATAGTTGGCGAAGCCTAGGAACTGCTGCAACTCCTTCACGTTCTCCGGAACTTTCCACTTCTTGATGGCTTCGATCTTCCGCGGGTCCACGTGTACGCCCTCGACACTCACCATGTGCCCGAGAAACTGCACCTTCTTCAAGGCGAAGTCGCTCTTCGATAGCTTCACGTAGAACTTGGTTTTCTGCAGGATCTCAAACACCTTCCGCAGATGCTCCACGTGCTCCTTCATGTTCTTGGAGTAGACGAGAATGGCGTCCAGGTACACCACCACGCACTCGTCCAGCAGAGGTCGTAGGATGCGATTCATCTCCGCCTGAAACATTGCTGGTACATTGCAGAGTCCGAACGGCATCACCAAGTATTCGTAGGAGCCGTATCTAGTACGAAACGCCGTCTTGTGGATCGAGTTATCTGCCATCTTGATCTGCCAGTAACCCGACCGAAGGTCCAGCTTCGAAAAGATTGTTGCTCAATGCAGTTGGTCTAGTAGGTCGTCTATGCGCGGTATGGGATATTTGTTTTTTACTGTCTGTTTGTTCAGTACGCGGTAGTCGATGCACATCCATAAACTGCCGTCTGGTTTTGGATGGATCATAGAATTGGTGCACCGTAGGGAGAGGTGGATGGGCGGATCATTTGTCTGTCCAGTAGACACTCTATCTGATTCTTCATGTCTGTTAGTTCGGTTGGACTCAGTCGGTATGGTGCACGTGAGACGGGTTTCGCACCTGGTTCCTCCACGAATTTCGTGCTCGTGGGTGCATGCTGGAGGTACGCCTGCAGGTAGGTCGTCGGGCATTATATCCTTGTACTGCTCCAAGACCTCCTTCACTGTTGCAGGTAGCTCCGAACTCGGCTTCTCCTCCTTTGTTGCTGCCATAACGAGTGCTAAGTAACCCGTGCTACTCTCGTTCATCGTCCGTTCAAACCGTGCAAGTGTCGTTTTAGGAACATTCCCTGTATCCGTCTAGATTCATAGTGTCAGGCATATATGCTATAGTTTGTGTAGGCGTAGTGGGGCATTTCATATGGGGTACATTCATATAGGGTTTCCTACTTGTACTCCACTCTCTGCTCAATGCACTCATTCTTGTTTCTCATCATGGTATCAAACAGGTTCCCTCGTGGGAACACTACCTAGGGCCCACCACGATACTTTTTTTTCCTTGCCCGGAGCGCGCTTCACTCTTGCCCTGTGAAGCTCTGTGTGCCCTCCCTACCTTCGAGCCGCCCTTAGTGGCCCATCTCACGGCCCCTTTGGCCACCCTTACGGCCCCTAGCGGCGCCCTTACGGCCCCTCGCGCCGCCCTCTACGGCCCCTCGCACCGCCCTTACCGCCCCTTACGACCCCTTAAGGCCCCTCGCGTCGCCCTTCCGGCCCTCGCGCGGCCCCTTTTGGCCCCTCGCGGCGCCCTTTCCGGCCCCTTACGGCCCCGTCGCTGCCCCGTTTAGGCCTCTTGCGGCCCCTCTTCGGCCCCGTCTAGGCCCCTTGGGACCCCTCTATGGCCCCGCCTAGGCCCCCTACGGCCCCTCCGCGGCCCCATCTAGGCCCCTTGCAGCCCCGTCGCCACCACCTGCGGCCCCGTCGCCGCCACCTGCGGCCACGCCGCCGCCACCTGCGGCCCCGCCGCCACCTACGGCCCCGTCGCCGCCACCTGCGGCGCCGTCGCCGCCGCCAACGGCTTCGTCGCCATTACGTGCGGCCCCGTCGCCGCCACCTGCGGCCCCGTCGCCGCCACCTGCGGCCCCGTCGCCGCCACCTACGGCCCCGTCGCCGTCACGTGCGGCCGCGTCGACCTCCCCTAGCGGCACTGTCACCGCTAAGCTGCCCAGCGACCAAGCCGCCGAGCAGCCCAGCAGCCGAGCCACCCACCTGCCGAGCAACCGAGCCGCCCAGCAGCCGAGCCGCCCAGCGACCGAGCCGCCCAGCAGCCAAGCAGCCCTGCCGCCGAGCCGCCCACCAGCCGAGCCGCCCTGCCGTCGAGCCGCCCAGCAACCGAGCAACTGAGCCGCCCTATTGTCGAGCCGCTGGTGTTCCTACCGGTGCGAACCGGCCCTCCATCCTCGACTGGTGAGCTCACTCCCTACTAGGCCACTGCAGTCATGGCTACCCCCAGTGTCCTTACTTTTGATGCTGAGGGCCGTGTTGTTGACTTTGAGGTCTGGGTAGATGACCTCCAGCTGTTTCTCCAGTGCGATAGGGCAGACGGACTCTCTCTGTTCGATCTCACCTCAGGTGCCTCTCCTGCCCCGCCTGCTACTCCTGACAGCACTGTTCGCTCATAATGGGCCACGCGTGATGCTACTGCTCGCCTTGCTGCGCGTCGCCAATTACCGACCACTGAGCGTGCACACTTTAGCCAGTACAAGAGTGCTCAGACCTTGTACGACGCTATAGTTGCACGCTACTCTTCCCCTGCCTCTGCTGCACTGAGCCGCTTCATGCTACCGTACCTCTTCCCTGACCTTGCTGCCTTTCCCACAGTCGCTGACCCCATTACGCACCTCCGCACTAGTGACACTCGCTACCGCGCTGCGCTTCCTGCTGAATTCTGCGCCAAGAACCCCCCCCCCCCCCCATGTACATCACCCTCTACTACATAGTCACCCGGCTCTCTGACTCTCTTCGCGTAGTCAGGGACCACTTCCTCTTAGTTTGCCCCACCACTCTCACCGTTGACCTCCTCAAGAAGGACTTCCTAGCAGTAGAGAAGGGCATAGTCGCTGTAGGAGCCTCTCGTGGTGACCCTCGCACCCCCGTCTTTGAGGGGTGTTCCCCCTCCCCCCTCTTGCCCTCTGTTGCCTCTGTTGCTGCGGCCGACCTCGTTGGTTTCAAGTCATACGGCGCTGCGTCTGCCCCGAGCGCGAGACGTCGCACCGGCAAGGGCAAGGGGGGCAAGGGCGCCGGAGGGGCTGGCGGGGGCGGTGGAGGTGGTGGTGGAGGCAGTGGAGGGGGTGGGTGTGGTGGTGGGAGTAGTGGGGGAGGTGGAGGTGTCGGTGGCAGCACTAGAGGCGGAGGAGGCGGCGGCGGTGGTGGAGGGATTGGAGGTGGCGGAGGTGGTGGAGGCGGCGGAGGCGGCGGAGGTGGCGGAGGCGGCAGTGGCAGCAGTGGACCTGGTCGCGGCTCTGCGCAGAGGAGTGGCTTCGGTGGTTGTATGCGCCAGCAGCAACAGAGCAGTCATGAGACCCTGTCCCCTCAGCAGCTTCGTGAGTGGTACGCTTCGCCTCAGCGTGGTGGGGGTACAGGGCCTTGCACCTACGTTCTCCGCACCGGCGACCGCGCCGGTGAGCAGTGCGGGGGCCCGCACTCCACCCGGCGCTGCTTCGGCCGCCTGACGGACGCGTGGCGTCACCAGTTCCCTCGAGCCTCAGAGATCCCTCGCTGGGGAAAGCTATCTAGGGCGGGGGCTGCAATCTTTGATCTTGATTTTGATGCTATTCTTGCTGCCATGTATGCTGTTGATGAAAGTGTTGCGGGTGACTCTTACTTGTGTGTACCGCATGACCCGGGCATTGAGGCCACTGCTCTAGGTGCTGGTGAGGCACCTGCTCTAGGTGCTAGGGCGTCTGCTACCCAAGGTGCTAGTGCGTCTGCTGCCCCAGGTGCTGGTGAGTCTGCTCTCTGGGGTACTACGTTGGCTCAGGCCCTACACACCTTCACCCTAGTCTCGTGTGCATCCCGCTCCTTCTTTCGAGACCGCACCACTCTTACGCCGCTCAGTCGGCCGGTTGCAGTCTCCCTGGCAGACCCCTCTGGGGGTCCTGTCCTTGCTAGCTTCTCCACTCTCTTTCCGTACCCGGCAGCCCCCTCTGGCACCCTATCGGGTCTCTACCTTCCCTCGTTCTCTACGAAATTGGTGAGTGGAGCGAACCTACAGGATTGCGGGGTTGACCAGTTCACTCCTGCGAGTCAGCGGGTGACCCAGTGCACGTGTGCTCGGACAAGCCGACACTTGGCCACGTTCACCCGTCGGCCAGGGTCGAACCTGTACACCCTTACTACTGAGTCTCCACCGGCTGCTGAGTCTGGCCATGTAGCTGCGTCGAGTCAAGTTTTTGCTGCAGCGTCCAGGTCTGGTCCTGAGTCTGCTCCTTGCTCATGTCCATCTATTGTCCTACCAAACTCTCCTTTGGCACCACCGCCTTGGTCACCCCTCCCTGCCTCGTCTCAGAGGCATGGCCTCCCGTGTCCTTGTCTCTGGTCTCCCTCGGTCTCTCCCTCCCCTACCTCCGGGGCCTGGCCCTACCTGCGTCCCCTGCGTCGAGGGGCGACAGCGCGCCGTCCCTCACTTCTCAGAGTTTCCTCCGACAGAGGCTCCGCTGCAGACTCTCCACATGGAAGTGTGGGGCCCCGCCCGCGTTAGTGGGCAGGGGCGCCAGCGGTACTTCCTGCTGGTGGTTGACGACTACTCGCGTTACACCACAGTCTTCCCCTTGCCCAGCAAGGGTGACGTCACTGAGGTGTTGATCGACTGGATCCGCGCAGCTCGTCTCCAGCTCAGGGAGAGTTTCGGCTCGGACTTTCCTCTTCTACTTCTGCTCTCGGACAGAGGCGGGGAGTTTTCCTCTGCCCGTCTGGGAGCCTTCTGTCATGCACAGGGCATCCGCCAGACCTTCACACTTCCGGCCTCTCCACAGCAAAATGGGATTGCTGAGCGCCGCATTGGCATGGTCATGGACGTCGCTCGTACGTCCATGATGCATGCGGCTGCTCCCCATTTTCTGTGGCCGTTTGCGGTTGAGTACGCCGCGCATCAGCTCAACCTTCAGCCCCGGGTCTCCTTGCCAGAGACCTCCCCCGTCTTGCGGTGGACGGGGAAGGTTGGCGATGCGTTTGCGTTTTGGGTCTGGGGATCTCGGGCGTTTGTCCGCGACTTGTCTACGAACAAGCTGTCCCCCCGTGCTGTTCCCTACGTCTTCCTTGGCTTCCCCCCTGACACGCCTGGGTGGCAGTTTTACCACCCCACCTCGCGCGGTGTTGTGTCCTCCCAGGATGTCACCTTTGACGAGTCGGTGCCTTACTACCGTCTCTCCCCCTACCGCACTCTGTCCCTCCCCCCGCCCCCGCTCTTCCTTGTGCCAGGTCCCCCCCAGGTAGATCCCCTCCCCCCTCAGGGTCCTGCCTTGTCAGGTGTGACCCAGGTAGACGCAGTCGAGCCTGTCGAGGTAGCTGTTGACTCTGGTGCTGCTAGAGGTGCTGAGCCTGCGGGTGCCGGGTCTGGAGGTGCTGAGTCTGGGGATGCTGAGACTGAGGGTGCTGAGTCTGGGGGTGCTGAGCCTGGGGGTGCTAGGTCTGGGGGTGCGGAGCCTAGGGGCGCTGGGCCTGCTTGTGTGGCCCCCGACGGTGCCTCGTCGAGGCGGGAGCCACTCTCTCCATACGAGATGCGCGAGTGGTTTGCCCGCCGCTGGAGACGTGCTACAGGAGCTGCAGAGGCTACTGCTGGTCCCTAAGGTGCTCGTCCTGGCGGTCCTAGAGCTGCTGCGACTTGGGGAGCTGCTGGGGCTACTGGACTTGGTCCTGCTAGAGTTGCTCGCGGTGCTGGTGCTGCTGGAGCTGGAGCTACTGGGGGTGTTGGCGCTGGTGTTTCTACTGGTGCTGGTGCGTTTGGGGGTGCTGCTGAGGCTGCTGGAGCTGACGGTCCTACTGGAGCTGGTGCAGCTAGAACTCGAGGTGCTGGAGCAGGAGCTGCTAGAGGTGTTGGCGCTGGTGGTGCTGCTAGCGCTAGCTTCTGTGGGTGCTGGAGTTGGCGCTCTTGGAGCTGGAGGTGCTGCTGGCGCTGGTGCTGCCGCTGGGGGTACCGGCGCTGTCCTTGCTGGTTCCGAGGCCGTACTTTGTTCCACTCCTGGAGCAGGTTCTTGGTCTCCCGCCCTCTACTAGTCCTGCTCCTCCCTTAGAGTGTCCACAGCCTGTCCAGTCACAGTCACAGTTACAGCTCGCCTCCCCTCTACCTGCTCCTTCTCCCTACACAAGTCCTACTGGAGGTCTTGTTGAGTGTCATCTCTACCTTCTCTCTACATGCGTCTCGTCCTTCATTGCCTGTTCGTGGTGCTCGCACTAGTCGGCGTACTGCGCATCCGCGTCACCCTGCGGTCCCCGGCACACACCAGATGGCGCTGCGTCCTTCAACTGCTCCTCTGCGTGTCCCGTTGCCGTCTCCTCCAGAGTCCTCTCTTCCTTCTCTTGCTGACCCGGAGTCTGACTCTCTTTGTGCTGCTAGTCCTTCAGTCACGCGTCTCCTTTCTACTTTTCTCACTGACCCTTCCTTTGAGTCCACTGCTACGTCTACCCTAGTTGCTGAGCTTGTTGACTTCGCTTCTCGCGGTCGTCTAGACTACGCTGCTAGTCTCGTTGCTGAGTCTAGGTCTGTCTGTCCTCCGTCCGTCGGGGGTGAGTGTGCTATTAGCATGGACGTCCTTGAGGACAGGCAGGAGGAGTTCCAGTGCTTTGTTGCTGCTTTGCCCCATCTCGTGTCCACGCTGTTTGCCCCTGAGGGAGACCCGGATGCACCAGACATCCCGACTCCTCGATCGTACGCTGAGGCGATCGAGGGTCCCTACTCCTCACAGTGGCAGTCGGCCATGGACACAGAGATGGCTTCCTGGAAGTCCACAGGCACCTACGTTGACGAGGTTCCCCCACCTGGGGTGAACATCGTCACTGGCATGTGGATCTTCAGGGTGAAGCGGCCGCCGGGTTCTCCGCCTGTCTTCAAGGCGCGTTACGTTGCTCGAGGCTTCGGTCAGCGGCAGGGAGTTGACTACTTTGAGACCTTCTCTCCCACCCCGAAGATGACCACTCTTCGGGTGCTGCTACATAGCCGCTCACCGTGACTACGAGCTTCACTCTCTTGACTTCAGCAAGGCTTTCCTGCACAGCAGCCTGCACGAGGAGATCTGGCTGCGCCGCCCACCTGGCTTCACTGGGTCGTTTCCTCCTTGTACCCAGTGGAGCCTCCGGCGGCCAGTCTACGGTCTCCGCCACGCGCCCCGTGAGTGGCACGACACACTGAGGACTACACTTGCGGCTCTTGGGTTTGCTCCTTTTACAGCCGACCCGTCCCTGTTTCTGCACAAGAGACACACGTGCACAGACCTGGGTGAACTGCGCAGCGCACCATTACCCTGACTCAGTCACACATGGTGCAGCAGGTCCTTCAGCGCTTTGGCTTCACGTACTCCTCACCTCAGGCCACTCCTCTGTCTACTCGCCATTCGCTCTCAGCTATGCCTTCGGATAAGTCCGTAGAGCCAAGTGGCCCGTACCCAGAGCTTGTTGGCTGCCTCATGTACGTGATGACCTGCACACGACCTGACCTTGCATACCCTCTTAGCATCTTGGCACGCTATGTTGCTCCTGGGAGACACCGACCAGAGCACATGGCTACAGCGAAGAGGGTGTTGCGCTACGTGTGCAGTACGTCGAGCAGGGGGCTTGTGCTTGGAGGGCGCCGTCGAGTAGTCCTCAAAGGTCACGCTGACACTTCTTGGGCTGACGACCAGGCTCTGCAGCGGTCGTCACATAGTTACACCTTCAGCCTTGGCTCCGGCTCTGTTTCGTGGTGGTCTACCCTGTCAGATGATTATATTACTGATGCATATATTTAGGCTGTAGTGGGGTAGCCCATAGGGGGTACAACCCAATTAGGGTTGGTACTTGTACTTGTTTCATTTCATAGTGCACTCATTCCTCGCCTCTATCTCAACATGGTATCGAGCAGGTTCCCTAGTGGGAACTGTTCCTAGGGCCCACCCACTATTTCGTCCTGCCCGGAGCGCGCTCTGCCCTAGCCCGAGTCGCGCTGGGCCTTTTTTTTTCCTTTGGCGGCCCGATCGTGTCGAGCCGCCCGCTTTTTTTTTGGCGCGCCACTTCCGCGGCCTCGTCGTGCTGCCCCTAGACGGCCGCGCCGCGTCGCGCGCCGCCCCCCTCTGACCCTCGCGACCTCGCCGTCCCCTCTGCCGGCCCCGCGATCACCTGCGACGGCCCCGCCGTCCCCTCTACCGGCCCCTCCGCTACGCTTAACGGCCCCGCCATCCCCTCTGTCGGCCCCGCCGCTGCACTTGACGGCCCCGCCGTCCCCTCTGCCGGCCCCGCCGCTGCTTCAGACGGCCCCGCCGCTGCACCTGACGGCCCCGCCGTTGCTTCAGACGGCCCCGCCGCTGCACCTGACGGCCCCGCCGCTGCAC